GGGCAGCGTCGGCTCGGCGAGCACGATATACATATACATATACATATGTCTTGCTTTGTCAACATTGCAGCATCGACACATGCACGCAACTACGCATATCGATGTACTATCATGTATTCATCTGTACAGTTTTTTACATAGTCCGGTTGCTTCCAGGATTCACTAGCAAGGACGCTTTCGGCATGCGACAGTCAGCATGATGCAGTACGCATGGTTGTTTACACTGACGTTTGGATCACACCTGCACCAGGTAAATGATGAAAAGAGCACTACCATGTGCCTTGGCCAACATGCAGGACATAGCAAAGCCGAGCTTCTTCTCCCGGTCGTACACCTCCACCCAGACCAGGAAGGATGCATACCGACATTACCTCCGTAGCTACATTCCAACGAGCCTCCAACAATGCTTCATACTTTCCAGAACACGTGTGGCGGTACCTTCCAAGCTCACAACTGTCTACACAGCGAAGCGCAGCTCTCGAAAGTGCTCGTATTTTGCACTACTCCATGTTTGCTGCCAAGAAACACAGACTTCCAATCCGTTTTCATGTGAGTCACTTCTGACATATGGCACTGGGCTTCATGGAATGCCGGCCAACGCTCAGCATACATGCGTTCCCACTGCGTGGGACAGAAGAGCTTGCCGTTCTCGAGAATTGTTTTCGACGACAGCTCGCACAAGTGGGCCACATCGAGGGGCTCCTCCAAAAAGTTGATCACATCGTCCAGCATCGGCAAGGACAAAATCATGTGCGAGGCACTGTCCCAGCCATGGATGCCTGTGGGCCCTTGGGTCGCTTGGTTCGATAGAAACCTCTTGAAAGACCCTGCGCGGCCAAAGCCTGCGTCAATAACTTGGTTCAGCCAGTCCTCCAAGCCTACACTGCTTTCGCGCATGTAGACGCTCCAGACCACTGGCTGCATCTTGAAGTATTCGGCTGCGCGGTTGGGAAGAGGCTGTATGATTTCCCCGCCATGTTCTCGTCCCAGCTCCTCATGCAAATGTTCGAAATCAGACCTGCACCGAACACCTTGCCAGAATTGAACGTCGGCAACACCTTTCAGCTGCACAACAAACTCATCTTTGAAAGCACCCGATGCCAAGGAATGTGCGAAAACCCGTGCTGAAGCCGGATCTTGCTGCAGGGAATCATTGAAGCCAAACCCGACGGCATTGATTTTGGCTGACTCGGACTTCGGCGTGAGCGAGCCAACAAGCCACTTGCCATCAGGGTCCGCGGCCTGGCGCTCCTCCATCTGCAAGACGCTCTCCTGTGCACCCATGCTGTACACGCGTTCGCTACGCAGCAGCCTTGCTTGAGATCGCCAAAAAGGCTCATACAATGCAGTGATCCTGGTTGGCATTTCCCCGAACACACATGGTAGCAACATAGAGCAACTGTGGATGCACATCAATGCTCCAACCGCAGGCCCCAACTCTCGCAAGCGGTGTTTCGGCATAGCGTTTTTTTTCTCCCCCCACACACCTTTTTACTCAAGCTTGATGCTAATGCATTATGCAGAAACAACACCTCCAACCCGCATACTTTGTGAGATGTCGTCTACAATGTGATCCTGCTTGGCATGCTGTTCTCATAAACACAAGTGTCTGCAAAAGGTGTTTTTCCTGTGCAGCAGTGGTTTGGCCGGGGACCCAAGGGTACCATTGATGCAGGGTGGGTTGCTGCGCAGGGTTTTTGGGCATAGGCTCATGCAGGGTGTCGCAAGGTAGGGGAGAGTGCCGGGGTGCGGCAGATCCCGAAGGCAGCCGAACGGTCCTATATGCATCGAAAAGACCCTGTCTGGCACAACAGAACTGCATCTGCATGATTTCTGCAAGCCGCATATATGCCACACAGCTTTGCAGAAGTGGGCTGGTTCGCTGTCCTGTGTCTGGTTGTTCCTGGAAGGGTTTTCACGGATTTTTTGTCTCCAACCGCCCAGGCTGACTTTTACTGAAAGTAGTAGTAAATGTGGCGCGGTTACAAAGAGAAAAAGGTTTTGGGAACGGGACCCCTTCTGGCTACGCAGCCTCTGCAAAGTTCCAAAAGGCAACGGTGGCGAGTTAGATTGAGCACGAAGGAAGGGCATGGCCATAGTTTCAGAATATGAAGCAGCGGCAGTTGGTTTTTTCAAGCAGCTTTGGTTACAGCACAGCGGAACGCAGATACTGTACTGCGAAACTGCCAAATAGCTAAAGTTGTCCGTGGTCTTGAAGTAAGGGGTCGCTGGAGCGCCGAAGCAGCCACCGTTATCCGATTGCTGGCGCGGGCGCGTTTGCGAAGCGCTGCCCCTTCGCAACGGGCAGCCTGTGGTGCTGCGTTTGTCGGGCGGTGGTGTCGGTTTCTCTGTGTCGCGCGTTCCTTCGCCGCCAGCTTGCTGTCCTTGCCATTTCCAACCTTGACGGCGAGCCGCACTTTTTGAGTGATGTCCTGGCTTTTCGCTTTCGCCCTTTCGAGTCATGGTGAAACACCACCGCAACGGTCCTGTAAGGACGTGGGGATGTTGGTGACACATAACACAAAATACAAGGAATCATGCACCATAAAGCCTCTGACAAATTCGAGCGCTTCGTGTTTCCAGGCTGTTCCTGCTGCCACGTTGGTCCAGCCAGCAATGTGCGTTCGGAAGGTGACGGTTGCAGAACGAACGGAGTTTATCATCCCATCTTGTCAGGGGGACGACCAGGACGGCGATACGATTGCTGGATGCCAGGCGCAGACGTGCCGTTGTCTTTGCGGATCGGTAAAAATCCAGAACAAGTAGAAGAACAAGCAGAGGTTGGCTGGTCAGGCCGCTTTGCTGGCGCTGAGACACAATTGATTTTATTCTTTTGCTGTTCCACACACCTTTATGCCTCGCCACTGTTTGCTTCACGGCTACACGACTTAGCTTCTAGCTCCTACGAACGCGACCACAACTGGAGTGGCAGAGGGCGCTGCCAGGTCCAGCGAGGTTGTGCCTGTCCGGCTCGGCCAAGCGCCATGCCTGCGACCGCTTGCTGGACAGCGATGGACACGATGCTTTGCCAGCGACGTGACCAACCGGCTGTGGCCGTGCCACGAAAGGCCGGCGGAGGAAGCAGCAAGAGTGCTCGTTCCACCGACCACCAATCTCCAAGCCCAACACTACCAAACGCTGCGCCCCTTGCGCAAGTTCAGGGTATAGGCAATCCGTTTTCGGCGCTCGGCGACACGCAGCCCGGCGCCATTAACGCACTCTGCGCACGGCTGCGGGTGCCCCGGGGCACACTTGATGTTGCATCGCAGCATAGTGCGCCGCCGTTTGTCGTGGCACCGTACGCGGCCATGTCCAAGCGTCGGCGATCGGACGCCCTTGTGCGAGCCACTGTTGCGGCACGACCTGCCATTCAGCGACCGCTTCTCGGGCGACTCTCGGGCGACTCGAAATCATATTCCTGCTCCACCACTTTGGCAGTCCCGTTCTCGGGCGGGTAAGCGCATGTTCCCCGAGCTCGTCAAGCGTCCCGCCGCACGCTGGGTTGGGGCGCGGGGCTCTAGGGCAAAAGCTGCCGCAAACGCCTGCACAGTGCCAACAACATGGTTTGAAGATACTGGGCCGGTGGAAGCATACAGTCATGCCCTCATACGGCACGAAAATTGCAAACTAAATCATGCTAGAGATGCCTAACATAGAAACTCCACATTCTACTATATTGGCTTATCGGATTTGTTTTTTCCGCTGACCTTTTTGCAATCGTCCGAAGCAGCGCGGTCCCGGTGCAGAAGCCCAAAGCCAGGGATAGCAGGGCAACAGACTACGGCAGAGAGCATAGAAGCGCAGAGCGCTTTCACACCACACGGCTAGCAAGCGGCGGCTGGGAAGGCGAGTCGGCGAGGATGTCGCTCAGAGGTGGCACATCCCCGTCAACATTGGCCGTGCCGGTGAGGGGCAGGGACAGCAGGCTGGCTGCGAAAGAACGCGCGGCAGCGGTGGTGGCGCAGACCTCGCACGGCACCGTGCCAGCAAGCGGACAAAGGTAGCGGCCTCGGCACTCCAACGCCCCCCAATCTCAAGGGCTATGACTGTGAGCCGGCAGCGGTTGGACCTGCACAGCTCGGGGTATGTGCGCTCCTTGGCTCGTCTTGCAGTGAGCAAGGCCGCTCCGCCAGCACGGCCCCCAGCCCTGCGTGGGAGGCCGGCCGCAGCAATTAAGGGGGGAGACAAGCGTGGTGTCGCCTGCAAGCTGGGCACCACCCCACAACGGCAGACCATTGGCGATGACCTCGTATGGTCGAGAGTCGTGCTATGTCTGGGCCGCGGGAAACCGCTCCCACCAAATCCCTCAAGCCCAGGGTGGCGAGGAAGGGGACTCTTTGATGCCGGCCATGTTCTCTCTTGCCTTGCAGCCTGCCCTCCGGGCCTTGCAGTCTGAACTCCTCCAAGGCGAGCAGGCACTGGCATATCTTGACGACATTTACCTCCTCGGCCCACCTGCCAGAGTCGCTGAGTTGTACCGTCGATTTGAACACCACCTGTGGCATCACGCTCGCCTCTGCCTCCAGGCTGCTAAAACAAAGGTTTGGAATTCCGCTGGCAATCTCCCCCACCTGGTGTGCTCGCTCTTGCCCCTGATTCCCCGATCTGGGTTGGCGGCCAAGAAACCCCTTTGGCACAGCGCGGTGTTGTTGCCCTTGGCGTCCCTCTTGGCACTCCGACGTTCGTCGCAGCCCACCTGCAAGCAGTCCTGGCCCGCCACCGGAGCCTCCTCGACAACCTCCCCGCACTCCATGACTCCTGTTGCGCAGCGCCGCGTGCTCACTATGCCCTCCGCACCCTCCGGCTTGAAAGCACATACGGCTACGCGGCAGGCCACGATGCTGCAGTCATCCGATGCCTTGCCGCACTCTTGTTTGCCGATGAGGGGTCGCAACTGCCTCAACCTGCTCAAGCACGCGCGCAACTGGCGTTACGGCACGGCGGCCTCGGCTTGCGCAGTGCGACGTGGCATGCGCCAGCTGCCTACTGGGTTTCGTGGGCTGATGCATGGCGTGCTATAGCCCGCCGAGACCCCGACTTCGCACATGAAGTTGCCGGTTCTCTCGCCTCTGACCGGCCACTCCCGCTGGCCCTGCAATCAGCGCGTGACGCCCACGCGTCGGTTTCTGCCGTTGGCTTCGACCCCCTGCCTGGGCGGAGTTGCTGCATGCTCAAGTGCCAGCCCAGCTTGAAGAAGACCCGTCCCTTGACCTCTCGTGGTTGGCAGCGACCAGCGTCCCAAGCCGTTGACGACTTTTGCCACAGGGCCTTCTTTCGGGAAGCCGACGCTGCCTCGGCCGCCCTGCTGGACTCGCAGGCCGGGCCTCATGCAGCGCGCGTTCTCACCACCCGTCCCACCCTGCCGGAGTTCTCATTGGAGCCGCCGCTCTTCCGAGCCGTCCTCCTTCGCAGACTTCGTTTGCCTCTGCCACTAACCTCTTTTTTTTTTACGCGCCTTTTACCGACTGCAGACAGTGGATCCCGGTCCTACCACCTACGTCATGACTACGGTTGAGGCGCAGCGCCGAAGGATGCGCGCGGCCTGCTAGCGGCTAGCGTGGGGGCAAGCGGCTGGCGAGGACATCCTCCTGCCACCGAGCATCAGCCAGGGCCTCGTGTAGGTCTGGCTCCGTGCCCTCACCAAGCTCGGCAGCGGGGGGGAGCTCAAGCAACGATGCGGCATACGCTCGTTGCGCAGCTAC